TATCAAAGTGATCTGCTTTCTAAGTTTGTTTTTTTAGGGATGAATTGTGTTTTTTTCGGGTCGTTTGCTTTCTACTTCCATTCCATCCCATCCCATGTCACTACCTAAACTCGATCCAAGCAATCCAAGCAGTCACAACTACCAGCACTCCTGTTTCTACAATAATTTTCTCGCTGATAATCTATGACTTTAATTAATGCCGAAACTGCATTACCCATTGGGTTTTACAACTACAAGTTCCTCGCTTGGTTAATGCCTTAATACAGGTGACTTGGCCATTATTATTTTTACTTATTTATTTTTTATACATATGAATAAGTTATATAAAAGATGATAACCCTTTCCTTTCTTTAAATTCTTTCTTTAAATTTTTTCTTATCCAACTCAAAATTCGAATTTGAAATATCAAATTTTTAATCATTAAATCACCTTAATGGGATTAAATGTTTTAAGAAGAAAAGATTTTAAAGTCTGTCAGACAACCATGTGACGACCCCAGCTTGATGAATTCCAGCTGAGAACGATCCTCTACTGCTTCAATGATCACACATGGGACATGAAGCTGTTAATCACGCTCTGGTCACATGGTCTTTGTTCATCCACCAGACTTTGGATCCTGTCTCCTTAGAACCCAAGGATACAGAGGTACGAACCTATAGAAGTAACAGATCCTGTTCAAGTAAGGATACAGATGTATTATTTATTTATTTATAATAAGTGTGTCTTAGGGGATAGTTTTTAAGTATCTCAAAATTAATATATTCTTCAACAATCTTAAGAATGTATTTTTACATTGACTCGATACTTTAAAAAAAAAAATTAATACTAAACTTAACCATAAACTTAACCTTCAAAATAACATAATGATTTTATTTCTTTTAAAGATTTGAGTTACGTACGTAATATATGTATGTTTACCTTTTTTTAATCTATTTTACCTGGATACAATGAACTCAAACCCAAGGTTATTTAAGAAAGAGTTGACTACTGAGACAGTTGAAGGCATTAATCACGGGAGAATGAAGAAATTCATAAAAAAGAATCGAGGATGTTATTGCTAATTGATATGACCTTTTAAGTGGGCTTTACCGCTTTATGATAACTAATCAAAATAGTGAGGAGTTTTTTTCGTTAACCACGGTCCACTTTTTGTAGGCTCTTGGACCAAATTAAAAAAAGTCTACTCAAGAATCCATTTGCACTCAATGAGTGCATATGGGCCTTTAGAGTGCAAGATTCATGCAACGTTGATAGCTCATAACCACGTGAGAGCAGAAAAAGAAGAATAGCCAAAATGTAAATGGGATGAAAAAGAAAGAAAGAAAGAAAGAAAGCTCCGCCGACAAAGTGCCATGTGTAAAAGGAACACAAATTGCGCCATTTCATCTGAAATGTCTCTGGGTGTGTCGGTGTTTGGAAGTTTCAAGGAAAAGTCCAATGTTAATTAATTTATTTTTTGACGATGTTAGAAGGAACACGAAAAAGGGGTGAGAGAGTAGGAGGAGCATACAAGTCCAACAGAAACAGCGGATTCAATTATAAGGTTCACATGATTTCTTCCATCAATATTTGTGGCCCATGTTCTTCACACATGACTTGTGAACGTCCTCTCTTCCTGTTGGGCTGTAAGTAAGCAGCAATAATAGCAACTCCTTCGGATAAGGTTTCACCCGTGCAAAACTTGCATAAATAGGATCACCCATGTCTTCTGGCTCAAACAAGACAAGAGATTCTGCAGAATCCCCGCACACACCCCCAAGCAAAATCTCCTATTACCCCACACTTTCCTCACCTATTTCTATCGCCCGAGCCTCAAATTTGCCCCCTAAGGCAGGGACAAATTTATTCTTTAAAAAAATAGAAATAAATCATTATTTTAAATTAT